AAAAAAAAAAAAAAAATTTAAAAAAAAAAAAAATGCAAAATCTAAGCCTAAGATGCTAATAAATCTGAGATTTTTGACTTTGAAAAGAAAGTTTTGCATGTGTCTTTTCTAGAGACATATGATTTTGAAACAATCTCCAAAAGATGCCAGGCAAAACAGGTAAGTACTGGGATGGAGGCAAGTTTGTTTCCTTTAGAAAGGTAGCTACCATGCAGGTAAAAATTTGGCAACTTAGAAGGAAGCCAAAGTTGTATATTTTCAATGCCTGTTGTTTTTTCAAAGTAAACAACAGCATTAGAAATCAAAGCCACACGTATCATCTTTCTTATTTTTCATGAGCACCAAAATTTTAATGTAAGTCAGGTGAAAGAGTGAAAAGATGTAAAATTTAATGAGGACTTCTACTTACCCCTTCATTTTCAAGTCTGATTCCAAATGCCTTCTCTGTATCAGAAATTTTCCCCTTTGAATACCTGAGGAAAAAAAATTGAGTAATTACAGACTGGATGATTTTAACCTGGTACATGTTAGACTAGTTTTAGAAGTAAGATTTAAAAATTTGTAAACAAAACTACCCTGAGTTTATATACTCCTCTAAACCAAGGGTCAGCAAAACTTTTCTGAAAAGGATCAGATAGTAAATATTTTAGGTTTTGCATGTCTTACAGTTTTTATCACATCCTCTCAACTTCCACTATAGTTTAAAAGCAGCCATAGATAGTATGCAGATGAATGAGCATGAATGTGTTCCAATAAAACTTTACTTACAAAAACAGGCAGGTGGACCAGATTGGCCTCATAGGCCATAGTTTACCAAAGCTGCTATAAACGAACTACCATCCAACATCCTAAAGGCACAGAGAGCTGCCTTCACTTAGAGGTGCTTTGCTAGAGGGTGCTAATCACTAAAGATGCCCACCACAACCACACTCCTAAGTGGCACCTATGGCTCTCAAACCCTAATGCCTAGGAGGGAAGGACACCAACCCAAGCTACAGTGGGCATCTGACACAAGAGCAACCTATGGACACATATATGCTGACAAACTACCAGAGCTGAGGAGAGTTCACAATTCCTCAGACATAGTTACTACCAGATATAGCTTATAAAGTAAGAAAATAATGTATCAAGAGAAAAACTAGAATAAACTGAATCATGTACCTCTTTTCACTTCTCACTGGACACAGAGGTCCCCTTGTTTCAACGATTCTGTCTGTGAGGATGGTAAAGAAAAGATTAAATATTTCCTTTATCAATCATGTAGCTAGAATTTCAATTTACGTAGTTTTTAAAGTATCAAGACATTCATTCATCATTTAGTTTCATGTAGTGGATAGCTAGTGGAGAAACAGAAGAAAATTACTGAAAGAATATAAATAATTTTGGCTCAAAAAATATTTGGTATGTAGAAGCTCAGAATAATCATAAAGAGGCACTTTATGTACCTACTTAATCTTGAAATAGCTTCTTTACTAAACTACTGGTACTGGATAAGCCCAAGTTAATGCCCTGGGGAAGGGGCTGACAATGTTTTGAAATTTTGTACACCATCTTTCACTAGTATGTCATTTTTCAATTTCATACACACATGAACTAAGGTCAATATATTAAGATAGGGCTAAATCTGGGAACTCACATTGTTTTGGAACAAACTGAGTTGTTCTGACTCCGTGACTTTGCTCTTCCCCCCAGGCTTTGGTCTTTAATGTATCCATCTGATTTCTTTGAGAACTTAGAAACAGAAAAAGTGAAGATCAGATACAAATGGAAAGTCTACGATAAATATTCATTATCTCTGTCTGAGAAGCTTCCCCAAATGGGAGATATTAATTACCCTGTAATATCAAATTATAAGAGAGGGGACACAACACAGCCCCATCTGGGACTAGGAAAAAAGGAGTCTAATCCTAATTCTAGTATTTCAGCTCAGTCACCTAACCTCCAGTTTCTGCATTTTTAAAGTTGGATGTTTTCAATCCCCAGCACCACCTTGACTGAAAAAACTCAGTATGAAAAATTTCAGGTTAAAAGATGAAAATTTTTAAATGACATACTGAAACAGATCCTAAAATAATACATTAAAAGCAGAAACAGTAAGAAGCAAAATAGTTTCAGGATTTTGCCAACATAACAAAACCAATAGTTCATGAAACATACTGCTGTTTCCAACAGTGGCTAGTCAAATGAGAAAAATATTAACATCATACTAAGAGAATTAAAAATAACCCTTTGTTATTTATCCTTTCACCAAGCTAGACAGACATATGACTTTTTTACCTTCAACTCGCTGTTACCTAATTTCTGGGTTCCCTTCTGTATATTATCATACCACTTGTTAGAATTACCAAGTGTACCCCAATCCTGAGCTCACATACTTTTTATCCTCTTTTTACAGTGAATAAGGCCAGACATCAACTTGTTCTGCCACTCATCTATTTGCTGAAAGCATTAGAGTATTTAATTAATAAGCAGTCGTATGAGGAAAATTCCCTGTGCCCTTGTTTGACTTTATTTATATTGTCTTAAAATTGAAGGTTTTCAACTGGCTAAAATGCGTCCATTAAGATGTCTCAGGGACTATATGTGTATCAGGAGAGAAGTGGGGAGGGAGAGATGGACAGGAGAGGAGGAGGGGAAAAGAGACAGAAACAAGAGACTATGAGAAATGTGCGTGGGGCAGGGGGTGGTTTTGGAAAAAACTCTGTCCCCTGAGAACCTGACTTTCAACCAGTGATTCTACTTTTCTATATCAGAGTTTCAAATAAGAGTTCACATGAACAAGAAATACCATTTGACCCAGGAATTCCACTCCTAGGAATTTACCCTAAGAATGCAGGAGCCCAGACTCAAAAAAACATATGCACCCCTCTGTTTATCGCAGCACTATTTACAATAGCCAAGAAATGGAAGCAACCTAAGTGTCCATCAGTAGATGAATGGATAAACAAGATGTGGTACATATACACAATGGAATATTATTCAGCCATAAGAAGAAAACAAATCCTACCATTTGCAACAACATGGATGGAGCTAGAGGGTATTATGCTCAGTGATATAAGCCAGGCAGAGAAAGACAAGTACCAAATGATTTCACTCATCTGTGGAGTATAACAAAGCAAAAACTGAAGGAACAAAACAGCAGAAGACTCATAGAACCCACAAATGGACTAACAGTTACCAAAGGGAAAGGGACTGGGGAGGGTGGGGGGAAGGGAGAGATAAGGGGATTAAGGTGCAATATGACTAGACTAGCACACATAATGTGTGGGGCGTGCATGGGGAAAGCCGTATAGCACAGAGAAGACAAGTAGTGGCTCTATAGCATCTTATTATGCTGATGGACAGAGACTGTAATGGGGTATGTGGGGGGGACTTGATAATGGGGGGAATCTAGTAACTACAGTGTTGCTTCTGTGATTATATATTAATGATACCATAATAAAATAAAAAGTTAAATAAAATAAAAAGGGGCAAAAAAAAACTATAAGAAGGAATTGAATTTTGAAATCAGTTTACAGATCTTAGGTCTTTTAATTATAGAAAATACTAATAAGATGCCCTTTGTTGTCTAAAATTGTATTTGCAGAAAAACATGAGGACAACAGCCTACAAGGTCTGAAGAGCTCCCATGCTATCCATGGTTTTTGTGTTGCCTGGAATCTTTGTTCTGCCAGGAACAAAACACGTCAGCATGTCCCTCACAGTAAATGTTGCCTTCAGTGATCAAAAAAAAGTTCACATGAACAAAATTTTCTAAAGCTAAGGGGAAATTTTATTTTGTAAAACCACTGTTCTCTGTTAATCCATTACGAAATACAATGTTCAAGCAATTACAAGGTTAGTTCTCTCAATGTTAACCTCTTTTTTTCAACAAAGCCTCTACAACCAATCCCCTCTTCAAAAATAAGGAAACAGTCTGGCAAAGCATTTATTTTGTTAGCTCATTTTCACCTGTGATGAGCTGAAGTTACAGGAGAAACAGAGTTTCCATGTCCACCTTCTTTAAGTCGCTCCAGTAACCTTCGGTACTTCTCTCTTTCCTCTTTTTGAACACCCTAAATAAAAGAAAGCAAGTTAGATAAGTATTATCACATTAAAACTACAATTGAATCATAAACAGAAACTAAGGTCAAATGCAGCCTACAGATGTGTTTTATAAGAGAGCATAGTGTTTTTAAAATTTCTTGAATTAGTTGGCAACTTCATAAATTTGAAAAGAAAAATCTGAAAATTTGGCCTCTTTTGAAAAACTTAATCGACCAACTATGTAGGGCTATTCCCTTTAGACAGGCCATTCACTCCAGCCCACTTCACTCATTTATGTTACCTGCTATAATTTTATGGCATCTGATTTTTTGACAGCAGAACTGGGTAAATCACAAATACTCAACAGAAATAATCCACTTGTATATTCAGAACATTTAGCTTCCAAAATGGAACTGTTCTCACCAAAGTCACCAATGACCTTCTCTGGCCAGATCCAAAAGACACTCTTTCAGTCCTTACATTACTTAACCTTGCTCTTCACTGTCTCACCCTGCTGACCTTGCCTTGCCTTTCTGGACAATATACTCTCCTGATTTCTTTTTATCTTCTTGGTCTTGAATGCAGGTCATTTCTTCTTTTGCCTGCCCTTAAATGCTGATGGTTCTGCCCATTATCTCTTCAGCTCCCCTAATCTATACAACACCAATAAGCTGAAGATTCAGAAATGTGTCTATCACAGTGCCTTCTTCTCATAACTCCCACCATCTATATCCAAGATGTACAGATCTTCTTGCATGTTTTACAGGTACTTTAAACAATGTCCAAAACTGGTCATCATCTTCCCCCTAAACGCACAGGGTATCTTGGTCAGTGACATGTATTAATCTGAGATTCAGGCTCTTCCCTCTAACTTTACATCACACTTAAGCAATGAGTATGACCTTGCTAATATTACCCTCTAATATTTCCAGAACATATCTTGTGTATACTCCATACATGTTTATTCAGTTCCACCTCTGGTTTCTCATCTAAGAGGTATTGGGGCTTACTTTAATACTTTCTTTAAAACCCCCTCCAGGGCTTCAATCCATTCCTCTTTCTTCTTGCCTCAGCTGGTACAACTACTAATGTATAAGCTCTCAAAGGACAGGGATCACATTTTATTCAATTTTTAATTGCTGACAACTAGCACAGTACCTAGAAGCCAAATAAATATTTCTCCAGTGAACTAAACTAAGTGGCTCAGAAAACCATCTAGCAAACTGCAATAGGTGACAGTCCTGAAGAATTCCAGATACAAGAATAATTCTAAATTCTCCTGGAATAAGTGAAGACTTCAAGAGGGAAGTGAAGACTGTTGGTGAAGGCATCATGCTAAGTGCCCTGAAAAGGGAAGGAAAAAGCAGACATGTACACTATTTACTTTCTTTACTTAGTCAGTTACTATAGCTTATAAAAAAAAACAAGTTAGACCAATTCAAGCACTCAAAAAGAATCTATAATCTTATCTCTTCCTAACATGATTCCTATTTCTTTCTCAAAGTGAGAATAACATCTGAAAATTTACCAAATCATGTATGTATAGAGTATTTCTAGAAGGATACACACAAGTATCAGTGGTTACTAGCTAAGAGTCAAAACAAGGTGGTTGGGCTAGGTATGAAAGGCAGACCAAGAAATTTATAGTCAATGTAAATTTTTTTACCTTTTGAATTTTATACCATAGTACATATATTATTTACTCTTTTACTCCCCCCAAAATTGATAAAATATTTTTAAAGAGATCAAACTAAAACAGCTTACCTCCTCCACGGTACAATGAGGACGTCTCAGACCCTTGCCACTCTCTTCAGAAATCATCTCTGTTACAACCTGTTCCTGAGGCTTCCAGTTTAAGGAACTCTCTGGATTGCCTTTGCTATGGCGACGGCCACCTGGTCTCCTATTATAGCCTTCTGAGTTCAAAGTAAAACTGAGAGACAGAAAGAAAAGAAGAAAAGAATTATTACCAAACTACTTAAATTGCTGGAATTGAAGCTCCAGTCATCCTATGATTAAGCTGCCCTAGGTTAAGTTTGCTCCTGGCAAACCAGACAATTACAATTCACAAAAGTTAGAATCTTTAGAGCAGAGGGGACCCCAGCATTCCACAATGGAATGTGTTTCCAGTCTCCAGCGCTGCCACATGAAAATCTCTGCCTTTTTCCTCATGCCCAAATTTCCAAACCCAACTCTGGATTTAATTCTTCTATTACACATTCCTTCCTCTGGTACTGCACTTTTCCTTTAATCACTTGGCATTGGAATTAATTACTGGTGTGATTAGTTAATCTGTAATTAATTTGTATTATGTCTATATCTCACACTAAACTTTAAATTCCATTTAGACAGAAATTAAATCCTTTCACCACCATATCCTGGTACAGGATCTAAGCAACAGGCACTCAATAAACATCTGCTCAATGCTTAAGAAATAGAAGCCATGAAGCCACTACTTAGTCACTGTTGCTGGTGACAAAACTTGCTTCTACTACTACTACCAATAATGGGACAAGCTGACATCGTATCCCTCTGGATATGATGTTTTAAAAAGACTACAACATCACAATTATAGTAATTTTTACCAAAAATTTTTATAATCTGAAACATGAGGAAACATCAGACAAAATTAAGGGACATTCTACAAAAGAAATGCTTTCCATTCTTCAAGAATATCCATGCCATCAGAGAAAGACAAGTACCAAATGAGTTCCCTCATTTGTGGAGTATAACAACAAAGCAAAACTGAAAAAACAAAATAGCAGCAGACTCACAGACTCCAAGAAGGGACTAGCAGTTATCAAAGGGAAGGGGATGAGGAGAGTGGGTGGGGAGGGAGGGAGAAGGGTATTAAGGGGCATTATGATTAGCACACATCATGTTGGGTGTCACAGGGAAGGCAGTATAGCACAGAGAAGACAAGTAGGGACTCTATAGTATCTTACTACGCTGATGGACAGTGACTGCAATGGGGTGGGGGGTACTTGATAATATGGGTGAATGTTGTAACCATGTTACTCATGTGAAACTTTCATAAGATTGTATATCAATGACACCTTAATTAAAAAAAAAACAAGAATTAGAAGGCTCAAACAAACAAACAAAATTCTACACCATCAAAGACAAAGAAAAGCTGAAGAGGAAAAGAGATCAAAGAGACATGAAAATTAAATGTAATACACAATCCTGCACTGAATCCTGGACCAGAAAAAATTATCTCTGTAATGGTAAAATTTAAACAAGGTTATATGATAGTTTTTTATTAATGTCAAATTTTCTGATTTTGGTAACCTGTGATTATATAAGTAAATGTTCTCATTCTTAAGAAATAAACACTCAAGTACTTATGATTACAGGACACGAGTCTAAGACTTACTTTCATATGCTTCAGAAAAAAACATTAGGTACATACAACAGAGAATGACAGAGCAAATATGGCAAAATAACAACTGGTGAATCTGAATCAAATGAATTCACATACAGAGTTTCAAAATACATACATGAAGACAAAATACAAAGGCAAAAACTGACATAACTAGATGGAGAAACAGACAAACCATAATTAGAGTAGAAAACATCAATACTCCTCATTCATCAATTAGTAATAAAGTAGACAGAAAATCAGTAAGACTTGTGAAATATTAGCAGCCAACTTGATCTGACACTTCACCTCACAGCAGCACAATACATATTCTTTTCTTTTTCTTTGTTTTTTTGTTTTGGCATCATTAATATACAATTACATGAGCAACATTGTGGTTACTAGATGTCCCCCATTATCAAGTCCCCACCACATATCCCATTATAGTCTCTGTCCATCAGTGTAGTACATATTCTTTTCAAGTGCACACTGAACATCATATATTAACAAATTTAAAAGAATTTAAGTCATACTACAGTATATTCTCTGACCATAAGGGAATTAAGCCATTATGGTATTGATTTCAATCAATAACAAAGACATTCTGTACTTTCTCTTTTTGCCCTCAGATCAACCATTTATCCAATTCCAGAGGGCCCCAGTTTTAGCTAAGTGACTCATTCTTAAATATTAGTAGACAGACAAGAATTAGCAAGTATTTGAATAAAGAATCAAAGATATATGCACCCAAATGTTCACTGCAGCATTACTTAAAATAGCCAAGACTTGGAAGCAACTTAAGTGCCAAATGACGAATGAATCGATAAAAAAGACACACACTGGGAGGACAGGGGGAAAAAACATGTCAGGAAAGAAGGCAAGATGAAAACCTACTCCCTCACACACCAAGGAAGCAACTACAGCAAATACAACTAAACCTGAAAATGACCTAAAGGCTACAGAACAGACCACCTACACCTGGGGAAGAAGAGAAGACTCGACAGAGCAGGGTAACATGACAGAGCCTCAACTGAGTGGGACCCCAACCCTTCTGCCAACCCAGCCACAAGTGATGGGAGAGGAACTGAGCAGGGAGGGTAAGTGCTCAGGAACTCTGCACACCTAGCCCTGGAGATGTGATATGAGGAACACAAGTTCCCATCGCATCGGCCTTTGGTGATTAGCGGGGCTGGACACCAGGGAGAGTTGGAGCACTCTGGGAGGCTGAGACTCCAGCTGCTTGTGGAGGACAGGCATGCTCTGCTAGTCCCACTGAGACCCAAAGCTGAGAAGGTAGTCTGAAACACTTACCAGCAATGGAAAGGGTGCCAGAGGGGCAAGGGTTGAATGGAGTTCTCAGCAGAAAAAAGGCAGGTAGGCACCACTTCCCCAGTCCTCCCTCAACCGAACAAGTTGGGCACTTGCGGGAGCCACAAACACTCCATCCCCCTTGCTGGCAGCTCAGCCCTGAGGCACTTCCCTGCACACTGCCCACCTGGCCCCAACCTGGCCCACTGGCCCAGCAACACTAGATTTTGCTGCCTGGCAGAAGCATGGAGACTTTCCCTGCAATACACTCACAGATACTGAGAAGTGACTAGCAGTTACCATGGGGAAGTGGTTGGGGTGGGTGAGTGGGAAGGGATAAAGGGTCACAAAATCCTTAATCATAATATATGCTGGTCACAGGGACGGTAGTATAGTATGGAGAATGTAGCCAACGATTCTGCAACATCCTCCTATGTTGACAGATAGCAACTGCACAAGTTGGGATGAGGATTTAGTAATATGGGTAACTGTTGAACCATTGTGCTGTATACTTGAAACCAATGTAAGATTGTATATCAAAGATACCTAAATAAAAATAAAAATATAGTAACTGGTAAAACAAAATTTAAAAAAAACATACACACTGGAATGTCAAAAAAAAGGGAGGAATTCCTGCTATTTGTGACACATGGATGAACCTTGAGGCTATTACACTAGGTGAAATAAGTTAGAAAGACAAATGCCATTGATTTCATTTCTATGTGGGTCTAAAACAAAAAAAACAAAAACACAAACTCATGGATACAGAAAATAGACTGGTGATTGACTGGAGGGTGGAGGGGTGGGTGAAATTGGTAAAGGGGGGTCAAAAGGTACAAACTTCCAGTCATAGAATAAGTCATGGGGTGTAATGTATAGCATGGAGACTATAGTTAACACTACTATGCTGTATCTTAGAAAGTTGCTAAGATGTTAGAAGTCTCATCACAAGAAAAAAACATAATTATGTGGGGTGATGGATATTAACTAGGCTTATTGTGACTGTTTCACAACATATATAAACATCAAATGATTATATTGTACACCTGAAATTAATGTTAAATGTTAATTATATCTCAACTGAAAAAAAGACTGACATGAAAGACCAAATAAACCAGTGGGAAGAGGAATTCAGAGGAAACAAACAAGGAGGGAGGAAAACAAATTTTAAACTAATTAACTAATGAACAGCTTCAGAGAGGTAAGAAAGGATATTACATCCTTTTAATAAGAACAAGATTATTGAAGAAAGTAAAAACCATGGGCTATAGAAAGGGAGAGGATGCTTACAACATAAAAACAGTGATAGCCAAAAAATAAAAATGAGTAAAACGTTTTTTTAAAGAAAAGGCAAAGAGAACAACAAAAGAAGAGAATACATAAGGAAGTTATATCAATCCAGAAGCTCTAATATCCAAAGAATAGAAATTCTAGAAAGTAAAAACACAGAAGAAAATTACTAATAAAACAGTAAGAACATTACACAAAACTGAAGAATGTGTTAAGTGTATGAAAATTCATCAGGCTATACACATAATTTCTGCTTTTTTTGTATGCATACAATATTTCAAAAAAAAGTTCAGAAGTTCAGAAGGGAGCGACAATTCTTTTTTAAAATGTTTTTAAAAAAGGTGCTATGACAAGGGCGGAGCCAAGATGGCAGAATGAGTAGAGCAGCGGAAATCTCCCAAAACCACATATATTTTTGAAAATACAACAAAGACAACTCTTCCTAAAAGAGAGACCAGAAGACACAGGACAACATCCACACCACATCCACACCTGTGAGAACCCAGCGCCTCGTGAAGGGGGTAAGATATAAGACACGGCCCTGCGGGACCCGAGCACCCCTCACCCCAGCTCCGGGCAGGAGGAGAGGAGTTGGAGTGGGGAGGAAGAGGGAGTGCAGGGCTGCTAAATAGCCAGCCCTAGCCATCTGCACCAGAGCGCAGACATAGTGCATGCATGGAGCTCTGCATACTAGGGAAACAGGACAGTAAGACCTGTGAGCGGGTGCCTGCAGCCGGTGCCTGCGGACAAAGAAAAGCGAGTGCTTTTTGGAAGTCTTAAATGGACAGGGACAGCACAGCCAGACGGAAGTGTCCTGGGACACTTAGTCCAGCAGCAGTGAACTCCGGGCACCCTAAACCCCTGGATATCAGAGCAGCTCAGAGGAACCTCATGGAGATAAACAGCCCCCCGTCTGTCTCCCCTCCGACACAGCTCCGCCACATCGGAGCAGCAGCCCGAGGAAGGCCACACCC